GTTGGCTTAGCAGTGATTCTGTTAAGTTTTTACAGAGATTTACTGAGACTGGCATAGTCTTATTTTGATTTGTGGTCTTGCACAAAAAAGGTGTCTATGGCATTAATGAGGAGAGCAGGTCTACGAACTAAAAAGTGCATACAACCCATAAATGAATGTACTGTGGAAGCAAGATCTCAGGTTTACACAAGCTCATGTATATGTGCATCCAACATGCTGATTTTTTTTACATTTTTAATATAAAACTGTAGCTACTTACCGTCAGGTTGTTTAGCTCTGCAACTGCTTCACATGAACTGCTCCGGCAGCCTTGGTGCCAGTATAAGGTTGTGTCAAACCCACTGAAATTCGCGGTTAGGTTAAAAGGCACAGCTGGATCTTGGGTGTGTGGACAGAAAGAAAGTTCCGGATGTTAGTTTTGACTTTCTCTCCATTTTGAACTGCAGTGTGTATGTGGATATTAGATTTGTTTTAAAGAGAAATAAAATGTGTGTGTGTGTGTGTGTCTGTGTGAGTGTGCGTGTGTGTGCCTGTGTGGAGGAAGTAGGCCCTGAATTCTACCATATATGTAAAATCTATTAATTTGGGGAAGTTTACACTCCACAACAGTAAAAGACACAGAACCATGTAAGCTTAAATAGCTAGCTACAACTGAAAAATCACAGTTGCTAATAAAAAAAAAAAGCACCAACAAATTTCAGTTGGCAAACAAGACAACTGCTTTTGATTACCTGTGTCATAAACTGGGACATTCTGTTTAAGTTTTACTGATAATGTTTAGAAATAAACCCGTACAGGGCTTTCCTAACAGCCACTTAATAAAAACTTCGCTAGATAAAAAATTCCTGCTAGCCAAAAAAACCCAAAAAACGTTTATGTTTAATTATCTTAAATAATAGGTGTCGATAGCAAATACTTTTTGCATAATGGCATCATTGCAGACTGTGGGTGAGTCAAAACTAACACCAAACTGTACTGTTGTCATGTTGACCAAAAGTCAGGCTAAACTGGTATAAGATCAGTATCCTAGCTTAGTAGAACAAGCGTTTTATGCTAGTAAGCTAATAAGCATTGCAGGTAGCTTCCTTGTAATTAATAGGATAACAATCTTTAATCTGCTAGTTTATGAAACTAACTACAGAATATCTGTTAACAGTAGCAGCTTTACTTTTCTTGTATACTTTCTTAGTCTTTAATAGTGAAATCCCTGAATAATTCCTAAAACAGCTTTAAAATTGTTACTTTTGGGAAAAGCAACATGAAAATCTGAAAATAGGAACAGTATGCAAAGCAGTAAATATAAATTAACAATAATAGTCAGTGACATATGTGTTAAATTATCAATATCTATAAACATGAGTGTACCAATATACATACTGTATAGAGAGTGCTGTTGCACTAGAGATCAAAATGTCTGATTTTGTGCAGATTTGTCATGTGGTTTGTTTGTTTGTTTTTTGATTTAGTTTTTAATTTCATTACCCTGGGCAGCATTAATGGCTGAATCTTTCTCTATGGCCTTCAGTATTTCTCCTTCCACATACTGGAGGCTCCAGGGAGAGTCCTCATCATCCAACAGTATAACGTTGATTGTAATCCCACTCCCACATTGTCCAACACCAGGACACGATGCCACAAGAATTCCAAAGATGAACAAACACAGTAACCAGCTTCCCGAGCCCATTCTCAGCTCCGAGGTGAGTGCTTCTGTTTTTTAGCCGTTAAAGAGAGTCCATGATATCCACCGATCCTGAATCCAGTTCAGTAAAGTCACCAAAACACTCGGAAAACTCTTAACTTATGATCGCCTTGATTAAAGCTTTGCCTGATCCACCGAGGCTTTGCTGAAAAAAATAAATCCTGTGCGAAAGTCTTCTCCTCTTTCAGCTTTCCTCTAAGCGCTACTCACCTGTTCTTTCTATGTCACCATGTTAATATACAACCTTTAAAGACACAGACGCAGGCCATATAACCTTGTCAGCGCTGTGTCATGGCCTGCATAAATTAAAACTTAAAGCAAACACGCAGAGCATGGCTTGGTTGTAAGTTTGTTGATAGTCTTACACTCACAAATTTAATTTAATGGAGAATCGTACCATGAAATTGTTTTGTGCAGAAATACAGTTCAATTGGCAAAAAGGAAAACAGCCCAGAAAAAAAAAAAAGATTAAACCTTGAGATATCTTAATTTAAGCAAAGGATAAGGCGTCAATGGCCACATGGGACACTTTTATCAGTAAAGTTAAAGCTATAAAACTTATAAAAATGTAGTCCAATATTTATTCTTCCTTCATCTTCTAAAGCTCTCCAGTTGAGCCAGATTGGAGTCTTTGCCAGCCCAGCTTTATATTTGACAGACTTTTTTTAAGGGTTTTTTCTTAATCAAGGTAATATTTCTGTAATCATCCACTTTAGCAGTCTTTTGTGGTCTTTCAACTCTTTTGGCATAGCTGTACTGGCCAGTGCATTCCTTCTTTTGTGTTGATTTGTCTTCTACTACAGTTTTTGTTATTTCGCTGACAGGTTTGTTGAGGTTTTCCAGAATAATGATGCCCCTTTTATCTTATTAACTTGTCATTAAATAATTAGAGAACAGACCTCGCCTGGCTTTGTAACTCCAGGTCAATGAATTGTCCAATTAATTTTTAGCCTTTGAAAATTTAGGACAATATATATCCCTTCAGTTAATGTCAAAATTTTAATTTTTTAAAACCCCTTGAATTACAGCTGGAGGTCTGTACTTCACTCACAGCTTGACTATTTAAAATCCTCCTTTTGGGTAAAAGAAAGTGGCAGAAAGCAAATCCTGTTCTCTGGAATATCATGATGCAGATTTGGGTTTACCTGTACATGAAAACTCATATGTTGACTGGTAAAATTCATCATTTAAATTAAGAGAAACCACCAGCATGGAGATAGACAAATAAAGACAAATTGCCGAAAATGACATTAAGAATGAAAAGAGGATATAATGATGGAAAAATCAAAGTCACAGCTGAGAAAAAAAACCTCATGTAGTTCTTACACAACAACAGGCATTCGTGTCTACGTGCCACAGACAGAAAGCCAAACGCACAGCTCATAAACGTCTGATTCACTCCTGTCTGGAAAGGACGGCAAAGAAAGGAAAAAAGAGAAGATCAAAGGTTGTTCAGGCCATAAAACCAATACCAGATAAGATGGCTTGGCTGTGAAACCACACATACGCTGATGATTAAGTTCACCGGTGACAACTATAAACTGAGAGTCCCCTCTCTCAGTTAGCACTACCTCTTCACCTTAATTAACATGAATACACACAGTCAGTTAACTCTCACGTTTAATGGTCTGAGCAGCTCCACAGTAACACGCACAGTCAAAACGATCAGCATGTGAACAAAAAAACTCACCTTTTTACCTCCTTTCAACATAAACACAAAGATTAGTGCCGACCTGACCTTGGCAGTAACGTTTGATAATGGTAATAATATACTAATAAACTAATTATTAGCGATGCAATAACTATGTTATTCTTTTACATTTAGGTTTTCTCCACAACTACAAGCTGTAAGCAGCAGAGGAAAATTCTGGGATCTTTGACAAAGTTCATTTTATTTTTAATTTCATTGAAACAGTTCCTGTTTTATATCCAGGCATCTTCACTGATTTTGTTTGGTTGTTGATTTCACAGCTCATGATTCATGTTCTGATTGGCCCTAATCACAGTAATCAGATGTGGCGCTGCTGAATTCCCATAAAACCGCTCTCTGCTGGATGACATGTGGCTGCAATGTTCAGGATTTAAAGACAGTTCAGTGTAAACATCACATTTGAACTAAACAAACATGACCAAAGTCCTCTTCTTTCTGCTGCTCATTTCCTGCCTGCATTTTTAAAAAAATCAATTTTACTGATTTTTCTTCATAACTGGAGCATCTTCTGCTTCACTCACTTTCAGCTTCATCCCAAAGTACTACTGTATATTTACTGGGCGTATTCACAGATGCTTTTCACATGTTCTACGCTGCGCTAATGCTGAATATGAAAGAGCTGCTAACTTACCAAGTGTAGTATGTGTTTTAGATGTCTCACAACTTTGTTTCTCATCGTTTCTCCCTCCCTGTTGTTGTCTAACAGATGAACTTTCTTGTCATTGTTGATTAAGACGGAAGCCCAAAAGCATCGATAACTAATTACAGGTTATCTCTGTGGTGTTGCTTGATCAGTGATCAACTCCGACTTGGTGCATGTAGTCAAGTATTGCACTTGTGTTGTGTTCTTGTCCTTGCGCATTTCTATTTTATGATTTTATTATATTTTATGGAAGCATTTGTGATCAGGATACTGATGAAACCCACTGATTAAATAACAGCTCAGTAATGTGGAACTATGAAAACTTCAGATTAGCTTTTAATGCAATGTTATAACAGTAAAATGATGCTCAGCTGGTACTAAGGGCCCCAAGCTTTGCCAAGAAAATACCACCAGCATGAACCACAGATACAAAACAGGGTGGATCTATGTTGTTTATACTAAATTTTGAAAATGTCCAGAGAAGATTTTGTCTCTCTTCTGTTGTCCAGTGTCAGTGAAATTGTAGACTCAGTTTCCTATTCTTAGGTGACAGGAGCGTTCTTCAGCAGCTGTAGCCCATCTGTAGCACTCTGGCTATTCTCCTCCAGCCACATCAACAAGGTATTTTCAGCCAGAGAACTGCTGCTCATGGATGTTTTCTCTTTTTCAGTCTTTATAAATTCTGCAAATGCTGGTCGTCTGTCCAGCACGTCTGAGACAAAGAACAAGCCACATTCAGAGTCACTGAAATCACCTTCTTCCTCATTCTGCTGGGTAAGCAGCTTATATTGACCATATCTACATGCTCAAAGGCACTAATCACTGCTCCCACGTGATTGCCCAATTACATATTTGCAGTAACGAGCAGTTGAAAGTGACCGATCGTGGTAAATAGAGGTCTGCTGTCTGTTTGAGATCCAATATCTCCTGTTTTTCCCATTTTTGTGGGTTTGTGTGACGTTTCAACCCACTTACTTTGTTTTTTGGACATTTTCCAGTCTGGTTTCCACAAATTGCACTCCACTGAAACAACTTTACTTAAAGTGTCTAGTCACATTCTGATGGCAGCAGACTCATTCACCGTGATCACAGCATCATGATAAATAGGCTGAAGGACTTGTTCAGGATTACTGGTGTTGTTTTAAAATGGTTTATGTCGTATCTATCTGAGAGATCTTTTACTGTCATCTAAGAAACATTTCTAAACTCAGACTATTGATGTCAAAGGCAGAACTTGAGATGATTATTTATGCTTTTATCTCTTCTCGTTTGGATTATTGTAACGGTCTTTTTACTTGTCTCAACAAATCAGCTCTGAATCGCCTTCAGACTGTACAGAATGCCGCGGCAAGACTTATAGCTGGAACAAACAAGGGTTTTGGCTTCTCTTCATTGGTTGCCAGTAAATTTTAGGGTTCATTTTAAAATTTTAGTTGTAACTTTTAGAGCTCTGCACGGTGAAGCTCCCCAGTATATCTCTGACCTGTTGAAACCTCATGCTTCATCCCAAGCACTTAGGTCGTCAGGTCAGAGGTTACTATTGGTCCCACGTACTAGGTTCAAAACACGTGGGGATCGGGCTTTTCAGGCACTGGCACCTAGGCTGTGGAACTCCCTGCCGTTGTCTTTATGCTGTTTTTCCACTGTTTTATGTTATTTTATTTGTATTTCTGGTTTTATTGTGAAGCACTTTGTGATTTTTATCTGTGAAATGTGATGTATAAATAATTTATACTTACTTACTTACTTACTTACTTCTACCACACACAGCTATGTGATGAACCAGGAGATTATTTCTGCTGGGACGCCCTCTAATGGGCAGGATATGGACATAAAACAAGCACAACACAAATGCATCAAAATATTTCTCAAAATTCACAGCAAAAGAAAAAAACAAAAACCCTGTGGGTTCAGAATACCTACCTACTTACTTCTCTATAAAGCAGCAGTAGTAAGGGATGGAGAAGCTTACAACAACAACAACCTTTTGTGAATACCATTGTAAGTTTTATTGAAATTTTTTCTTAACAACAAAAGACAGGTGTCACAGTGATTTGACAAAAATAAAAGTGCTCGCCAACACAAACTCTTTTCTCCCACAGTAAAGAAACTGAGTGTGCTACAATGATGTTAAGTCACACTTGCGGCCCAAAAAAACCCCCCAATAAATAAATAATAACTAAACGAAGAAGAATCAAAGATGCATAGGATATCTGACGATACCTCTGTGAAGGCTCCGACTGTGTTACTGCATGATGAATTAACACATTCTACATGAAGATTACGACAAACCGTAGAGAACATGCTGACTTCCAAAACAAACAAAACTTGCTTGTCATTTCGAACGCCACACAGTTATATTAAAAATTAGACAAAGATTACATAGAAATTAGAAACTTGTGTTAAGAAAAGGGTTTTTTTTCCCCTCTCGTTAACGACATAGACCGTAGCAAAGGGATCTTGACAGGGTAGTATCATAAGAGTGAGGTGTGCAGTGTTTTTCAAACAAGCTTAGTTTTGCACAAGTACTTGAAAATGCAGCTTTTAATTACCAAACGCCTGATGTTCTCCTAGTTACAAATGAAAATAAATAGGTCAATAAATAAATTTGCTGCTCTTTTTTTTGTTTTGTTTTGTTTTTTTTCTACAGTCATTTGCCATGACATGTGAGATTTTCTACAGTAAATTCTCAAATGCTCAACCTGCCATCTAAATTTTAAAAAACAATCGACACATTCTCCTCAGCTTGACCCTCCAGGAGGCCTTGAGAGAATGATTTCAAGAAATAGTTCAACATTTACTGAAATTTGCTTTTCTACTCACATGCTGAGAGCTCCATAAAAAGATCAGCACGGCTCTCATAGCTGTGCTCCGTATACATACATATACATAAACTCAGCACAAAATGTAAGGAAATTTGTGTTTGGTTGATTATTTCTTTGTTGTAACAATGCAAAAAAAATCTTAAACACTTAGAAATCCTGTTTATTTCCCTTTTAATGACACTACATTTGTACATTTATGGGTTGAGCAGCAGAGTTGAGTTTCCTGTGTTCGGTTCATCCACATGCTACTAAATTGTTAATATGTCTTTTTTTCTTCAGACTTCAATCATCCAATCCAACATACAACACCAAGCAAAAGTCAATAGCAGAATAAACTGTTTGGTATTGGCAGAGAAGATTTGGCAAATTTTACATGGGCGCAAGCCACATACTCACTCTGCTGCTCAACCCACAAAAGCATTGTCCTTATAAATGTGGTACCATATAAGGGGAAATAAGCAGACTTTCCGCTGGTATGAGATTTATTGTCAAGAAGCATTGTTACAATAAAGAAACAATAATCAAACAGAAATGATTTTACTTTTTGTGCTAAGTTTATATAATCAGGTAGCAGCTGGTTAGCTTAGCCTAAAGTTTTAGGATAATTGAAATAGATGCCAGGCTACCTCTTGTCCTTTTTTCTGGTCTTAATGCTATGCTAGGCTATGCTAGGCTATGCTGTGGCTGCTTGCTATATTTTCATATTTATCACACATAAATTATCAGCTAAAGTAGAAAATATAATGTGGAAAATATATTTTCATTGCTGTTAGGCTAACTGTTATCACGTTCTTTTAGTTTAATGATTACAGAGGTCATGGTAAAGTAAACATCACTTCACTTATTACTGCTAACAATGGTCGCTGAATTTGAGCAGAAATTCAGACTTTTAATGAAGCATAGGAATAGCTATAGAATAGAATGTAACAAATGGTTTAACTGGTGATTCACTGTTAGGCTCTAATGATCCATTTTCAGTACCGCAGTGTCTGAAGCTATTATTAGCTGTAATGAAGCTGAAACCACTCTCTCACTTTGTGGAACATAGCTGCAGGTGATCTTGTGCCCGATAAGGATGCAAGTATTTGATATAGTTCGACAAAGAGTCCTAAAAGGATTCCTATGCACAGATTAGGCTACATTTGCTGGCAAGCCTTTGTAAACATAAGCACATTAACAATCTTTTGCACTCTCCACTGTTTCTGGATCAGTGTTGGTGCTAAACAGTGGAAAAAGCCTGATGTTTAGAGTTTGTATTGTGTGCGGAAAGCTTAGTTTAAACTTTTTTTTCTATAAAAGAGAAACTCAGAAGCTTGCTTTTTTGTGTTTTCTATATTTCAAATAAGATTCATTCCAGCAGCATGAGACTGAAGGTTAAAGCATTTGTCACACGCCAGAAACGTGAGAGTAGGAAACCCTGACATGAAGGAGAAATCAGTCCTATAATCTGTAAGGCAAATAACTGTTTCCCAAAGTGTTAAACTATTTCTTTAAGATCATTGACGTCACCTGATGACCCACAAAGTGAGAACTGCTGACATTAATCTCAATCATCCTCCTTACACGTGCTTTATAACGCCCACATCGAAGCTAACTGCATCTGTGCTCGAGCACAACTACAGATGATCACTCCATCCTCTGCCCGTTCCGTCACCCTCTGACCATTTCCTCCACCAACCCCAAACCCTCTGGCCTGTTTTTTCAGCAGCAGGCCCACATGCCCACTGTCTACCACAAAAACTTTAGACCGTCATAGGAGCTGGCTACAATAATACTGGATTTCTACACTTGCAAATAGAAAAAATACTGTAGCGCTACAATATTTAGAAGGAAACATCTTCCTAACACGTGAAACTTCTCATAGCACTTGAGGCCGAAATGCATTAAGAGCGAATTGCAAATATGGAAAAGTTACTAGTGAAAGTATACTCATAGTTCCCATTTGGGAAAAGTAAACAACCTGGAAAATCTTGGCATTTTTAAAGTGTTTTTTCCTTTGAATCTTTCTTCTTCTTCCTCCTCTGCGGTTGTAAACATAGACATTATGGCTAAAATGAATGTTTCAGTCTGACTTTTTTAATGAACCTTGGCAGTGGTGGCACACAGTGTGAATATGTAAATTTGGAAGTACACACATACGTCCTCTGAGCTGCTCCCAAAAACTCAGAGTGCCCGTCTGTATGGTTGAACTGTTTCATTAGCTCAAAATGCATTTCGGCCCCTAGTACATCTTTATCCAACTCATTAAAGACACTTCCCTTACAACCACTTATTTCCCAACTAAAATATATTCCCTACCCCAAAGTAAAATTGCTAGCACCAAACCCTGAACCCCTTTAACCCCCTCAACAGAAATATTCAAACACAAATGATCAAATCATGGCCTCCAAATAAAAACATTCAAACACATACATTCAAAGCTTAACTCCCAACCCTAACTTTTATATCTAGACCTTCACTTTCTGTACCACTAGCACCTCAGGCCAGCGCTTGCCCACCTCACACCGAGCTCGGATCCCTCTGCCCCAGACCTGATCCTACCGTTTCCCTTACCAAAACATAAAATCTGAAATTAAGTCTAAACCCCTCTTCGCCTTTGCAGATCTGAGACTTAAATCCCTGGTCTAGGAGCTGATGATCTGACCTGACCAGGTCTCATGCTTTGTGCCTGGATTCAGGTGGGTGATCACCACGTCGACAGCCTGAATCTTCTGGTTCTTGGGAGGGATGGGGCACACTTTGTACGTAACCTCGTCTCCTTCCATAGGCACGTACTCTCCCTCAATGCTGTTCAGGAAACAGAGACAATATAAAAGAAAAAGTAAAAACAAAGCATTTTTTCACATTTTTGCAGAGTGCTTTCTTTAAATCAAGCAACTAAAATCAAGGTCTGTGGACTTGTTTTCACGCCGACCAAGCTGCTACATTCATGCACAACAGCCAATGAGAATTGAGTTTGA